TCTTCATTAAGCTGTATGCCATCTCTGTCAGATTGATGCCCACTATGGCATACGAGTACCTGCAACAACACAAAGCATGCTATGATGAGAGCACTTTTACTCATTTTATCAGTTATGATGCCAAGAATCACTATAAATCAGCGAAATCAGCGAGCACTCACCCTAGTCTGGGGTGACTGGCGTGTGACAGGACCTGCCGGGCTTAATTCTCACAATTCTCACTGAAAAAACTGGCCAAACAGAGAAAAACGTTAACTTAAACACATCAGGGAAGCAATGAAACGTCATCTTCTCATAAGCAGAGAAGCTGCACTTACAGGAGGTTTGTGAGGCCCAGCATCCCCATCCCTCTGAAATCAGTCTTGGGATCGTCGCCCTGGAAACCAATGTTTCCCCACTGCTTAGTGATCCTCGATTCCAGCTTCACTGACGGCATTAACAGATCCCACAACTGACAGACAGAACTCAGAACTGAGAACCTCTGAAGCTCAATCATCTTAAAACGATCCTAAAAATTAGATAAATCGAAGCATGTTGCATGTTCTCATGTTCTTTATTTTCGGAGTCAAACACCTGTTTTCTTACTTCCTCGACCGCCTCGAACAGCTCGTTATATGCGTTGATTTGTAACAAACACTGACGGAGATTTAAAACTGCAGTCAGACCTTTATAATATCCACAACATGCACAAATCTTGAATACATGCTAAAAATAAAACAATAATCAACCTTGAAAATAAAAACTGTGAAGCAATTAGACAAGTTTCTTGAGTAGCAAGTAGAAACAGTAGTAAAAAATGTGTTAGGGTTAGTTTAAGTTGATTTAATAATTCACTATTAGCATTAATGTTCATTCAAGTACTAATGTATTTATTTTAGTGCGGGGCAACGATTAATCGCATCCAAAATAAAAGTTTTTGTTTACATAATATATGCGTGTGTACTGTTTATATTTATTATGTATATATAAAGACACACACACATACATCATATATTTAGAAAATATTTACATGTATATATTTATATTATATATAAATATATTTAATATATAAGCATAACATTTTTCTTAAATATATACATGCATGAGTGTGTATTTATATACATAATAAATATACACAGTACACACACATATACTATGTAAACAAATTGTTTTATTTTGGATGTGATTAATCGCGATTAATCGTTTGACGGCACTAGTACAAATAATTATTATTATCACAATTTCAACATAAAATTCTATTTGAATATATTTCAAAATGTAACTTATTCCTGTGATCAAAGCTGAATTTTCAGCATCATTACTCCAGTCTTCAGTGC